ACTGCTTACTTTGCACCAGGTCTTTTTAAATCGGCCCAAGAACGTTTCAATGCGTTGACCACATGCTATGACAGCTGAAAGCTAATTCCACCAGGCAGTGGCTATTGTGACATGCTGAATGACAGCTGTCTAGCTGTCTACCCAACAGCGTGCCAGCTATTTGCCATTCACAACCAAGTCTTAATTGTCTAAACCACATTCAAAAGGTGTTAATGGTTGACTCACATATTGTGCTACCATTATGGCCACGTTGTCCACGTTATGGCCGCCGCCAAAAATTACAATAAGTGCTAGCCCAACTAGCCAGCTCGAGCCTTCCACGAACCTCGCACGTAAACAACTTCCGATGCACCAAGTGTGCCTTGAATATAGGTATTCGTTTCTCCTAACGCTGCCAGGCAATTCCGCGAAGCGCTGGTCGGCTCTTTGTTGCTTGGCGAGTCTTCACGGACGCGGGCAGCCACGGCCAGCAACAGGACGTAATGACTACATTGGAGGGACACGCGTTATAAACTTAGACTTAAGGTGATAAACGAGCGAGCTGACGGCCCTTACACCATCCGTGTGAAGCCACCACGCGCGGCAAGGAGGGCCCCTGTGGAGAGACTGAGCGCACGAGTAGGGTGCGGGCGTCGGCTCCGGTACAGCCGCGCAGCAGTGGGCAGGCTTCTCCGCGCCGCTCATGCCACGCTTCAGTTTAGTGCAATCCAAGCACTCGGGCGCCCTCTACGCTGCCACGCCGCGCTGAGGTTGGAGTTCTGAGAGCGCTCTAGCAACATGGCAGGCCAAGGCCGCCTTCAAAGTCGTCCCTGCCACACAGCGCCAAACGGTTAAAAGGAAAGTTCCAACTTTGAGAGCTAGGGGAGAGGCAAAACATGATACGGTGACGTACGATGGACAAAGCCATGCTGTTTTGTTTTTTTTTTGTCAAGAAGTGCCGTGCATGATATCCTATCCAATCAATCACCGACGGGCAACGGCCGTTGGCGGCCGGGTCACTGAACGCTCGGTATTGTATCCCTGGTCACGTGACACCTTCGGTTTGCTTGACTGTGTTTGAAAATTGACTAACTCGTCAGCCCAATGCATTGAAGGTGAGGAGCAGCGAGGTCTTAGACCTTCGTAAGGTCACAGTAGTGAGTGTTTTCTTGCAGACTAACATCCGGCTGACTCAGTCTATGTCCCTTGCAAACGTGAAGCACTTGCTTCATTGGCAAGGCATGAGCGTGTAAGTTACAAGTAGACTTGGCCAATATCCGATCAATTACACGTCGCACAGGCAACTGCGATTTAGTATAACGGAGCGTTTCTGGGCATGCTTGTCTGCACATGCGTCTCAACAACTTTCATGCGGTCTGCTACCATAGGTTACAAGCATTAGTATTTCACACAAAGGATTCATATCTGTCAGGAAATCTTGCCCTCTTGAAGGACGGCTCAACGAACGGTGTAATATGCATTTACATTTTGTATTGTAATTGGCACGTGCTATTTCACCTCACCTAGTGTGGTTATCAATTGCATCATACATACAGCATAATAGATCAAATTGTGGAGCACAGCCGAGTTGAAATGAGCTCAAAGCTCCAAATAAGGGTGAGTAGAAGATGACAGATACTGCTGAGTTAAGTATTTATTTTATTTATAATATTGTTTGTTTACCATTAGGTTATTTACATGCGTCAGTAGCAATGTTAAACTTAAGCGGTTGAATACAGGCGTGGAGAATGGGGGAGGAGAGAACTAGATGGAACGTGTCATGAAGTGTGACTACGAAGAGAAATGCGGCGCTTAACGCATAAATCTGAGGCAGTTTCTCGGCATTTAGGGCCACGACACTAACTTACGTCAGATTAGCGTGAATACAGTCCACTCAACGTATTTTTGGCCAAAGTCGTTAACGTGAGCACTTCCAGCCCTACGATTGTTGTGGCCAAATACATAGCCACTTTCCCAGAACCGCTGGTCGGCTGGCGCCCGACAGCTTTATAACGGCGCGACCGTCGCGGAACCGCCAGTCCGAATTTAGCCCCGCCCCACGGCAGGGCGTATCCAGCAGGGCAGAGGCCGTTGCCATGGTGACCGTCCGGCTGCGAGATGAACGAGATGCCCCACTCCGGCCGGCGTCTGGCGCCTTTGGCGACGTGAAGTCGCACTCGGTGCTGCCGCCGGCCCGGCAGACCCCCACTCCACGTCACCCTGAGCCCTCCCCGCCACCCCAGCATGCTCGCTTCCCGGGCGGCGGCGCCTAGCTCAATACGCGCGCATTGACTTTCGTGTGCGTCTTGCGCGCCGCGGACGGGCCGCCGGGAGCGGCCCGGGGGACGGCAGCCCCTCCCCTCCGGGGCCATCGCCGTCGACGGGCGAGACGGAGCCGACGCGGCGCCGTAGACGACTCGCGCGAGGTCGTCGGACATCCGGCGCGAAGGGCGCCGACGTCGGCCGCTGTCAGCGGGAACGGGAACACGCGCCAGGCGGGCCGGTGGTCGGGACACGGCCGGACGCGTCTGGCCGCTGCACGTGGAGAGCAGCGCTGACGTGCAATTAAAACGATAGGATCATTTTAATCATTTTACAAAGGATGTCTAGTTTAGCGATTGCTTTTCTAAAAAATTGACCCCATTAATAGATCCTCCGCATGCATTATAAAATCACTTCTTACATTCGATCTTGTGAACAGTATTTTCGAATCGTTGACGATTTCGCGCCTTCATTGTGAGCGCACAGTACAATTTCGTACTCTGTTTCTCCGTGAGGGACGCACATTTCGCCTGGCAGCGCGCGGATGGCAGACTTGCGTCAGCCGTACGTTCACCACGGTCGCAGTGGGCAGTGGGAGGTCCAGTGAGCTACGCGCAGCTCGGGTCGGCTGGCAGGCACATCAATCGGTGCTACAGGAGGGCCGATATCTGGCGGTGTCGCGCCTTCCAGTCCGCCGCCGGACGACGGCCACGCTCAGAGCTCCGTCAGAACACGGCAGCTGCCGTCCTGCTCCGCTCTGCTCCGCTCTGCCGCGCTGCGGACCTGCGTTTGACCTGGCCCCTGTCCCGGCCTGCCGCGGACGAGCGGAGTCGGCGGCGGTGTCTGCACCGCCCACTGGCTCGCCTGCCGGGCTCGTGCGTGACCGCACACATAATCGACCCGAGGGCGTTTTGACAGCCGCAGAGGCGGCCGGAACAGCAGACAGCTGCTGGAGCCGCGGCGCCCCCGGCGCGGCGCCGCGTCAGATACGCCCCCGGCCATGTCGGCGGGCGGAGCGGGTAGGGCACGGCGTCGGAGATATTGTTCTCCGGTGTCTGCGGGAGGGAGACTGGGCATGAAATATTGCCGATATTTGTGCGGGGCTCCGGATTATGGATATTACTGGCCCAGGGAGCAACTGAGGCCGAGATATGGCCTCTTATATCGGTGAGCGATGCCGTAAGGAGACGCCGTCAGAGTGTGACACGATTTAGCGATATAACCCGAAATATATGAATGTGAAAGAAGAAGGGATGCGTCTTAATAGTTTTCGTGATAGGATAATTCAAAGCCGATGTGGGAGTGTCATTATCAATAATAATTTGGAAGAGCCGTTCCTATTAATGGTTTGGGAAAGTCATTCTTGTAAACATTCGAGTCCGATACACGGTATTACTTTTCTTGTAATATCTATCAGTCTGACAAAAATGTTCAGATATGTTGGTTTGATAAGGATGCTATCTTATTTTCCCAGGCCGTTCAAAACCACATAATGGGGATAACCTGCGTGGAAAAAAACGTAAACAGGAGAGTCGACTACATAAAACCGATGTACTTCATCTCAATGGCGCTCGACACGGTTGACAGCCATCTCTGCCAACGCCCGACTACTGGCGAGGAGACACGGGCAGCCACAACGCGCGGCCGCCGCAGTCACTTAGCGCGGCTGCCCCGTTTGGGGTGGCGTCATTAGGCGAGCCGCCCCGTCCGCCGCCGGCGCCGTGTCATTTAGCAGAGCGAGCGTCGGCGCTGGCGGCGCTGGCGGCCCACCAGCGCTGGGCACCATTAGACTCTGCCCCGCCACGTCGGGAGCGACACGCGAGCCACCGTGGCCGCTGGGGCCGACGAGGGCGCCCATGATCAGCTCGCCGCTGCCGCCACCGCTGGAGGCTAATCAGAGGCAGCGCCGGGCCGCCGACCGCGGCGCGCCGCGCGAGATTAGGCCGCCGGTGGCGACGCGGCGCCGCCGGCTGCGGCCGCCGGTTTCGACGATCGATGTTTTTCCGCGGCGGCCGGCACGGCGCGGAGGCGTTCGATGCACCGCTGGGTGGGCGCTGACCCGGCTCGGCCGGCCCGGGCGGCGGCGGCGGCGTCGTGTCGGCGGCGACGCGGCGGTGGCGGCGGCGGCGGCGGCCGTGAGCCAGCGGCCAGCCCCGTGAGCTGGCCGCTGACTCAGGGGGAGGCGCGCTAACACGCACCTTGTCGGCGTGGGAGCGTCCGACCCCGGTCCCGCATGCACTACACTCACACCGCACCCTCCGCTCCCAGCCCAGGCGCGCGCGCAGGGAAGCGCACCAGGCCGGGTCGGGGCTCGAGCCGGCCGCATGCGGTGTGATCAATGGCCTCCGTCGTCACACTCCAGTGGCCTGCCTGATACGAACAATTTAGACCGGCTCCAAGCATAAATTTTGCACTTGGAGAGTTCTCAATGCCACTTTGGTGATATATGGCGCCGTGAATGAGCTTTGGAAAGAGGCGTACTGACAGTCGATGATGTTATACTTCGTCCATAGAGTACATATGGCAAAGCCAGCCTACATGCTCAAAACATGCGGTAAAACTACATATATTGCAGACTCATGCATAAATGTAGCAAAACTGTGCATGCGGTAGCGCTAGTCCACGTTTTTTAGTCTACGAAAAGCCATTGATTGCTCTTGTTGCCTACGCATTGGCATTTTGCATTGGTGACCTCACAGTTCGTCAGTGTTTGTGAGCCATGCAAAGCCTTAAGCATACCTGTTCTTCTTTTTCCTCAGGATGGTAATGACCAGCCGGTGGACATGGGCCGCTCACCAAGACACAACCACCAGCAGGAGCAGCAACAGCAGCAGCAGCAGCAGCAGCAGCAGGCGCAGCAGCAGCAGCAGGCGCAGCAGCAGCAGCAGCTGCAGCAGCAAGGCCTGGCCCAGCAGGGACCCTCTGGCAGCGGCATGCCTCAGATGGTTGTACAAAAGGATTTCAGGAAGGCAAGTGGCACTGTGTGAACTCGCTTACCGTCTGATTGACAGTATCCGAATGAGATGAATCAACAAGCAAGGCATTGCGTATGTTTGCAAGGCTGCGCTGCGGTGTAAATGCAAGGTGCAGACATTTAGTTGCCGTGCTTTGTTGTACATTCAAACTGCAGATATGTAGTCGTTGCGCTCTGTTGTACGTGAAAAGCGCAGACATTAACCTGCTGCGCCCTGTTTGAAATGCATAGCGCAGACATTTAGTTGACGCGTTCTATTGTACATGCGGGTTGCAAACATGTTATTCATGTTTACTCGATTTGAAAAAATTGGTCTGTCAGTTCAAAGGCCACAACAAACCCTAGTGTGCTCAGCATCAGGCCTGTGCTCGGCGACTTGGTGGTTTGCTATTGGCTCCGTTTGGTATCTAACCTTTTGTGAATCAATTGGCGGAGTGCTAGAATGTTTCGCGCTGGTCGTTGAAGATACCACTTCTGTGGAAAATGAGAAGGTATGAAACATGCCTTAGAAACTTATAAAACTTAGATCTCTGGCGACCTGGTCAGAACCTTTGCAGCGCTTACTTCAGAGACTGCCCATAACCCACGCAAGACATTTTTTATCATTTTTCAATCCCTTTCTCCCTTTCATTGCGCACTGGATACACAGGTTCAAATCTCGGTCTTGGTCACGCTGTGGTAAGTGTAACGTTCCAAACAGGAGCCGTCTGTTGGGCCCCGAATTGAACTAGAGGTGCGAAAAGACAGACGTGATGCTGGGAATGGAGTGAACCTAATGTACCCGGCTTTAAGTTATTACGCCTTCATTTCAAATGTTAGCATTCTTGGCAGCCACTCTGGAACTTAACGTTACACTGTTTAAGCCCCTCCCCTGTTGCGCTTCAGTCACGGTTCGTCAACATCCCCCTCCCCCACTCTCCCTTCACTATTAAAGGGAAGATTGCGCACTGGATACACAGGTTCACAGGAAGATAAATTGGCGACACCCATCGGTTCGCGAAGAGTTGCTTTTCAAATTGGGTAATGCAGCGTCAGTGGCGTGCAGAAAACTCAAGCTCTCTTGGTAAACGCTGCTTCTTGGTACACGCTGCAGTCATCAGCGAGACCATTGGCGCGGCAAAGTTCAGTTCAGCCGCTGGAAAATATTGTGCGTTATGACACAGCCTAATCCTTTACAGTCAAGGCTCTGCAGGTTTATTTATTTGCAACGACTCGTAGTATATGCGGGCCAAATGAGCACCAGACAATAACAGTTCTCAGACGTTTGTGATAGGATGGCACATCAGAGTGGATTTAATGCTGGCTTAACTTTGCCTTGGTATGAGGCCGCATTAAGCATCTTTGTGTTTTTACGACCCCATTCAAAACTGTTAGAGCTAGCGCTCCGAAACCTTGGGACTGTATATCAAATTATATTTTGCACCATTCGTCAAATTTGAGGTCACTATGTCAGCTGAAAATGAGTTGAGAGCAATTTCGGGAGGCATGTGGTGACGCCTTACTGGCTGCTCACGGCAAACGCGTTGCCCGCGTGTTTTACTATATCCTGTCGACGTTCGACTAAAATGCGTTATGATACTATCAACTTCATCAACAATAATCACGTTTATGTAAAGTCTGATGCGTATGGGTTGTCTGGAATGAATGCAGGGGTGATAATGGGATGAACCTCGGTGCTTAGCTGTCTTTGCTATGTCGTCAGCTATTACGTCCAGGTAAAACGTTTCACGTGCACGAGTAGCAGTGCATAAGTTTTTTTTAATTTTAAGCATTCCTTAAGCATTCCTTCCATTCCTAAGCATTCCCATTCCTTAAGCATTCCTTAAGTTTTTAAGTTTCCTTAAGCAGAAGTGATACTTGGCAATTATATTGGAAGAAGCTGGAACGGCCATCTCCCTAGCGTTTAGCTGTCAAGCAATATGGTTATGGCCTTGTTTTGTTCTGACCGCTGGCATCAGATGCATCGGCCAAACGTTAGGTAAGAGTGCATAGGTATGGACAAGTTCGGTGTCGGTCAACACAGATGGAATAAGAGTCTTTCGATGTCGAGTTTATGCGATTATTCAAGCACCTATGCTACAACATGCGTTCACCAATGCAACCAAATGATTAGAGTGCATTACAAAATGAATCAAGAACGGTGTCAGGTCACATAGATAGGGGCATTCCGCTTTCTACTTTGGCAGGCGGTCTAGGTGTAAGGTCACATCAAGGTTTTGACATATGTTGAGTGTTGATGGAATTGTCCGTTTTTGTACACTTCTACATTCACTAATGACGACCTATTTAAGCGATGCGTTCTTTCAATCTCTTTGATCGTGTACACCTTGGTTTCAATCCTTCTGGCCTTGTCACCATTACAACAGCACTACTCAAAAGCTTTAGATTCTCGCCCTTCAGAGCATACCTCACCCCACCACTGACGTTTCGAGGTCTTCTTTTGATAACATTAAATTCTGACTGTGTTTAGCATTCCTAACCGTCTCTTGGCAAAGTAAACAGGGTAGGTTGAGAAGCGTACCCGTGGGTAAAATTTTCCTCCTAATTGCACATTCCTACATCCGCCAACAACACAGAAACTGCTCTTGTGCCTCGCAAAACACACCACATGGGTGCTTCAACCCATTTGTTTATGCAGCATCTCGTTTAGGTGCACTACACGCGCTGCACCGCGTGCGTACCTTATGTCTGCCCCTTCCTGTTCTTGTACCTACCCTTTCCCGTTCCTGGATGCGCCATTGACGGCATTCTTCCTAACGAAAAAAGGACTTCATGATCTGGCGGTCAGTTTATGCCCGAAAACGACAAGATCGTTGGCAGAGCTGGAGGGTTCAAAGTTCAAACTGATCTATGCGCATAGTTTATGAGAAATCCATTGCATAAAACAGGGACGGCGGCGACAGGGTTTATTTCTGTTCCCAAAAACCCATCGACAAATGTTGCACTTTGGAGATCCAGCCTTTAATGCCGGCTTGGTATCTCGCAGCGAAAACGCCCGACTGTCTTACACTTGAAGGGAAGTTAGCACCAGTTGCCTTCCAATTTGAAAAAAAATCGTGCTTCTGCCAAATTCAATTCCTTTTTCGGCTTCGTTATACTTAGATGTAAGTCATTGTTGCTTTTGGAAGCATGCATGTCATGGCGTGAGTTCTTACGGCTGCGTTTCATAAGGACTTCTGCAAGTTCACGCACCTCAGTACGATTTAAACTCATAACAATCTAATGACGTGTTCACAGCAAATGTGAGTAGATCAGCACGTACAATGTTACAGCACACGGTGTATGTCTGTCAATTCGCGCCCGGATACCAAGCTGGAGTTTGACCTTGTTTTACCTTATTTGACCCGAAGAACATTATCTAGGAACTTCCAATGTCGACATAAGTGAATCGCATCATTGAGCACCAGATATGCTTTATAAAACACGGAAATATATATCGGGGCGGAATTTTGCTCAAGCATAATCAGCATCCTTCCAGTTATGAGGAGATTCGCTACTTCACACGCCATTTTCGTTCGCCGCTGCAAGAGGTGCCTTGCCTCCGCTTGGTGGGCTCCCCTTACGTCCTACGTCTAATTAATTGCATTCGTTGAGACCATTATGTACACGGATTGCACTTCTTCGCCACTTACCATGGCATTTACCACGTTAGGCGGTAAGTGGCTTACCATTCTTGACATGATGATATAACACGCGGCGTTGTGTGCTCGCAGATATTTTCAAGTGGAGTGATGGTTCTCTGCGGGCTGCAGAACCGATCTCGTAAACACGCATGTTCTCAAAGTCTAAAATCGGTGCTTGAAGCCATTTGGTTTGGCCGAAGCTTCGAATATGTACCGTTATTCGTAATCATGCATTTGAGTTATCTCATGAAGTTCGGATGAATGCATGGTTCAATCATAATAGCTGATTTAATTTGCTACTTTTGTCTGCCGACCAAAATGCCTTAGCCTCGCGTCGGAACTCAACCAGCCCCATCAAATTTGCACAACCTGTCTGCAAAATGCATAAACCGACTGTAGTCGGCAAGATTGCTCCGACTTCCGTACCGCTGAGATATGGCGCAATCTTTCCAGCGGAGGTGCCCTGGGGCGCCCAGAGACATCCCGGGGTCGTTTGCGGGGTGTCGCCGCTCGCGCCTGCCTTCACGCCCCGCTGACGGCTTGGCGCTGCCGTGGCGGGTTTGGGGAGCGTGACCTGCATGGTCAGGCGGCACGGAGTAGGCGGGATGGGGGAGGCCATCAGTAGAGACTGCGGTCGCTCGGAACGAGGCCAAATGTTCGACAAGATCACGCTTGAGAACGGTGGGCTGGGTGCATACCACTGTGATGTGCGGAGCTAACTTGGTAAAAACGGCACCGGATAAAGTGTTCGTGTAAGATGTTCAAGCGGCTTAACTAATTACGGCACCGACTCGTGTTGGTGATAAACCCCGCAGGAGGTAGTGATCCCTTCTCCTGAGCATGCCATATCGGAGCACTGACCTCAGCTCCGACCATGTGATCGTCTTACCCTTACCACCCCTTGTCAACGCGACAACCCGATGAGAGCTTCACGTCGGTGTCAGGAGAGCTCTGGCTCCCTTCGGACCAGCCTCTCACCATCGTCGCTGCCTCGCAGGTCGCCCTCGCTGCATGTGCTCCGTCTCATATCACCCTCTGACCGCACTGACCTGACCGTTCCAGGTCAGCGGTATCTCGACGGAGATATTCCGCCAGATCGAAACGGTGGAGAACGACATGGACGCGTCGACGGCGGCTGCGCTGCAGGCGGTGGAGAAGCGCGGCGAGATGCTCGTCCGCATCCTTGATCCCAACCGGCTCTCCAAGAAGGCGTACGAGAGTGCGACGCGCTTCCTCGCTCTCCAGGTGTGTGCCGGAAGAGTGCTTGAAGATCGCTTGGGCAATCCGTTCGAGGTGATTTAATCCCATGGTTTAGTGAAGAGGCTTTCTTAGAAGACTGCATGATGGTTCGGAGGCATATGTTTTCAGTAAAGAACTCCCAATGCCGGAGCACAGCTGGCATAACCCACAAGCACAACCTAACAAGCAGCCCGCAAATGATATATGTGTTATCCTTTCCTCCCCCTCCCCCTCTCCCCTCCCTGCAAGGCTCCCGAGGACCTTGGTTGTGCGGCTTCAGACTTCTGTATTCTCTTTTAGCCTCTTTCTTAGATTTCAGAATGAAGCATGCTGGAGTTCACTACATAAGCGTTCACTACATAAACCACCTAAATCCAAGGAGAATGTATGAGTTTGATGCAAATAAATTAAAAGCAATCACTTTTGCCAGGTGTTTAGATGAAAAGTGGCTTTTCAAAAACAAACAGAAACATTTTTTGCGTCATTTCGTCGCCGAATATATAAAATGATGAAACAGAGACCTCAATATCATTCAATCTAGGACGATCAAGCAAACCGCCACCACTTTCTGTTGTCTGGATTTGGTCATGACGAACTGACAAGTGTCAGCATGCCTCATCTGCAGGTACGCCTTCTAAGAAATTGGACCTGCTGTCATAGAGCGTGAAATATATGCAATTTTCATCGCGTCGTCGGCCTCACGAAAATGTAGAGCATTCCTTGATCCCAGGCACCCCTCGAGCCTCCATTAATTGCACCCCCTATTTGATATTATGAAGCTATCTGTAATTGATTAAAGGAAGGTATCTGTAGTTTTGGACTCAATTCACCAAGTTTTAAGACGATCTGATCAGTTGCAAATCTACAGCCGGAAAACCAAGGAAAATGCCTTTTCACCACTCCTTTACCGGTGCAGACAGTGCTTCATGCCTATAGTAAGTTTTATTTGGTTTTGGTTAGAGCCCTATCACCCAGTGATGACTAGGTCAGAGCTGCGTGGTTAAGGGGGTGGGTAAGCTATTGAGCAATATTGCTGTCATCGTGGGAGGTCCCCGCTACCGAGTCTGAGCACGCACAGGGTATTCTTTACTCTGGGCCAGTCCTCGTGCGGGACTGCTGCCAGGGTGGTTCCGTGGGCCACTTGTGGCTAACAGCCACAGCAAACTCGCGGTGATGAGGCGCGTGTGATGAGGTTCAAGGGTCAAGCCACGGCAGAGAACAGGAAGGATGTGTGCCGTAAGAGACTTCGCGTTGGCTGCGTTACACGTTAATATCCTCGCATTCCTGTGCAATTGCAGCTAAGTTTATTCCGCGGTTTATTCCGCGAGGACTGAGTGGCTCATTGGCATAAGGTTTCATAAACGGCTCAGGTGATGAGCAGATCAGCATACTCTTCAAAAGATCAGGAGGTGCTAGTGGATTCGTCAGTTAGTCTAACATTTGAAGGATCACAACCCAAGTAACTCATGACATCTGGTGAGAGCGGTCGAATATATGCGCGTCGAGGGGACCAGCCGCAATCAATGCACGCCCAGGGCTAGGTTTAAATATAATTCTAGGGAAAAGGGCGACCAATGATTCATTCGTAACGACTTACAGATTTAATTTTACTGTTATGTCGATGATTTTGAGTTTTATTGCTGTGTGTGTGTGTGTGTGTGTGTGTGTGTGTGTGTGTGTGTGTGTGTGTGTGTGTTTGTGCTTTTAAGTTTTACTGCGGGATTTGCGTTGGGGTTCATGTTCTTTACTTTTGCGCCGATCCGCTGTTTTTTTTTTGCTCTGATTTTTCCCGTATGCGAGAAACACATGAATTCAAGTTAACTTAACTTAGTCCTTTTTTGAACAAGTACAGCGACGGCCTTGCGGTATCGCATGAGGTGGGCCATTTGCGACTGACTGCTCCTAATGTGTTCTTGCCCGCTGATTAGCTAATGCTCTGCAGGCTCCCTACCATTTCAGACGCACACCTGCTTTGGGCTTCATCGCCATACTGCCACATTTTGTCTCACTGGAAGCACTCGCTAGCACCGTACCTTAACCCTCCGCAACAGTGTCATGGTGCTAGGCGCTGCAAACAAAAGGGATGGCCACCATTTGCACCTGGCAGTCAAACATTGATAGAAGTGGTCTTTGACAGCACGTTGAAAGTTTGCCAGCTTAGATAGCTTGAGTCGTTTCATTGCAGAGATAGTGTGAACAGAGAACTGGAACATATGACCCACTGGGATGCGGTATCCCCTGTCACGTCTGTTCGAAGTTACACGTGCGGCTATCAAGTTGCACATTTACATCACCGGCCCTCGTCCCATTGAGTATGAAGTCCTTTACGGTGTAAACCATTTTGTCATCATGCCTGTGCACCACCGTGGTTATCATAACTGATGTAGTTATTTTCGGCCATTGACCATTCACTCAAAACCCTCGCCGTTTATTCCGTGCGTGTCACCGGCAAACCTGCGGCGTCATCTGCAGCGCCCTCACCGCGTGTGCCCCGCCGCCCCCGCAGGACGGTCGACACACGATCCAGTTCGTCGAGATCGTCAAGCGGCCCGGCCAGACGCTCGGCCTCTATATCCGCGAGGGGAACGGCGCCGACCGCGCCGACGGCGTGTTCGTCTCGCGGATCGCGCTCGAGTCGGCCGTCTACAACTCGGGCTGCCTGCGCGTCGGCGACGAGGTGTTGGCGGTCAACCTGGTGGACGTGACCCGCATGGGACTGGACGACGTGGTGATCATCATGTCGATCCCCCGGCGGCTTGTTCTGACCACCCGGCAGCGGCGCTACCAGCACGGCGTGGAGAGCCCGCCGATGGCGCGGCTCGAGCCCAAGCCGCCGCCCGTGGTCGTCATCAAAAAGGAGCTGAAGGACGAGTGCGAGGAGACGGAGCGCGCGCCGCCGCCGCCGTCCACGGCGCCGCCGCCGCTACCGCCGCGCCGCCAGCGCAGCGCCGACGAGTCGCCGTACGGTTACACGCGCTCGCTGGTGCACCGGGACGGCACGCCGACCGGCTACGCCGACATGTACGGTCGTACGCGGCGATCACAGTTCGCGGCGGCGCCGGCCAGCCGCAGTCTGCCGCCGAGCGACTCGTGGCACAGTGATGCCAGCTCGGTGGCCTCGTACCAGCCGCCGCCGCCGGTGGTGACCGAGCAGCCGCGTGGCTCGCAGCCGCTCTACTCGCCTTACGACCGCGCCTACCCCAAGACGCTCGAGTCGCTGGCCGAGCGCGTGCACGGCGGCCCGCTCGACTCGCTGGCCGGCAACGTCGAGTCGCTGTACGCGGCGGCGCGGCGCGGCGGATACGGCAGCCTTCCGCGCGGCGGCGGCCACTACCGCGGCCGCGGCCGTGGCCTAGAGCGTGGCCGCGGCGTGACCCGCACCTACAGCGACCAGCGCCTGCCGATGACGGACGCCGACGCCGGCGACTTCTCCATGCCGCCGGCCATGCGGCCCAACTTCAAGACCTCGTCGCTGCAGTACCCGCTGCGCTACACGGACACGATGAAGAGGCTGAGTGTCATGCGCCGGCGCACGGCCTCGCTCGACTACGCGTCCGACTCGGAGGCGGTGGTGGGCGGCCGGCCGCCGATGACCCACCGCACGCGGCCGCAGCAACTAGCCGCAGCCGGGCCGCGGAGCAACTCGCTGCCGCGCGACGGACGCGGCGCGCTGCGCGGCCGGCCGCGCTACGCCTCCGGGTACGGCTCGGCGGGCACGGCCGACAGCCAGGATGAGAGCGACGGCGCCGTCAGCGCGCCCGAGCTGCTCACCAGGAGAGGTGAGGCCGCGCCGGCTCGGTGGCACCGCCGGGGGGGGGGGGGGGGCGACCGAAGGTCAGTGTACGCAACGGTATGTGAAGTATGTTTGTTGACGATGTTCTCCTTATTGAAAGAGATGTGGGCAATCATTTCAGTTGCTTGAATCGTTTTAACATGTGTTTCATTGCTTGAAGTTTGCAGTTAAAATGTCTGAACTCTTAATTACACGCGCTTCGTTTGAATATGAGCGTATTCTGATGTTTAAACGATCCGTAAACTGATGTGAATGATTAACCACACGGCAGCATTCAATTTGTCACTGTTGTTGCTTAAGCTCGGCTGCTTATACGTTTCCCAGTTTTGTTTTGATTGACGCTAAAAAAGTCAGTGATCATCGTTGCAATATTATGCAAGCTAATGCAGTGATCATCATCGCATTCATTGCAAGCAAAAGGCGGCGGCACTATGCTTGCTCGCAAGAACTCGGCTGAGCTCGTACACGAGGCCCGGCTGTGATCCAGAGCCATCTCCACTACAGACCATCGACAAATCGGACGGCCCCAGGCGATTGCAAAGCCCGTTTTCGCAGGGGAGTTCGAATCAGGAAAATTAATTAAACGACTTTCAGAACTTGTTAACGGTCGCGATGTGCAGCCCTTCGGGCGTCGCAACTTGGGCTTCGTCCTCCAATCAGGCTTTCTACGCCACCCACCAATCGCGCTCGCTGTCCGCCCACCGTCCGCCCACCGCACGCTCACTTCCCAATCACAGCCCATTCATCCTTTGTCTGCCGTCCACCCCCTGTCTTCTGGCCGTCCGCTCACGCTCCGCTCTCCGTCGGTCGACAGCGGGTCCACCCAGCATGCGGACGGCCGGCGGGTTCGCGACGGCGGACGCCAGCCAGTGGCTGTCGCGCGCGCCCTCCACCAGCGCCATTTACGAGAGGATCCGCTCCCAGCGGGACGCCGCCGGCCTGCCGCCCAATCACCGCGGCGTGCGCTTCACCTTCAGCGCCGAAAACCTGCAAGGCGGCGTCGAGGTGAGCGCTGGAGGGTCCCCGCCGAGCTGTCTCACTGCACAGTGGCGTCGAGGTGAGCGCTGGAGGGTCCCCGCCGAGCTATTCTCACTGCAAGGCGGCGTCGAAGTGAGCGCTGGAGGGTCCCCGCCGAGCTGTCTCACTGCACAGCGTCGTCGAGGTGAGCGCTGGAGGGTCCCCGCCGAGCTGTTCTCACTGCAAGGCGGCGTCGAGGTGAGCGCTGGAGGGTCCCCGCCGATGCTGTTCTCACTGCAAGGCGGCGTTGAGGTGAGCGCTGGAGGGTCCCCGCCGAGCTGTACTCACTGAACTGTGGCGCCGAGGTGAGCGTTGGAGAGTACCCGCCGAGCTGTGCTCACTGCAAGGCGGCGTGGAGGTGAGCGCTGGAGGGTCTCCGCTGAGCTGTACTCACTGCACGGCGGCGTCGAGGTGAGCGCTGAAGGGTCCCATGAGCTTCATGGCACGAGTGCGGGGTGGACTGGGGAACAGTGAAGTTGTTTCTTTAACTCCTTCGTAAAGTAAGTGAATGGTGCATTGAGCTGGAAACTGAATTTTGAAACGTTTGGCAGTTCAGAGCGGAGGCAGTTTTTCATGCCATTTAATGCCGTCCATTGGTATCTGCAAAGTTAATCCGTCCTTCTTTTCCCAATCTCGTTCCATCCTGCATCCTCACGACGCCCGTTTATCCGGGGCAGGTACGTGCACCAGCCATGAGTGGGCCTAAGCACCCCCTGACGGCACGCCGTCCGAGCGCTGAGCACGTGCTCCGTATTGGGGCCCATGTGCGGACTTAGTCTCGGCGGAGAACCCAAGATGCTTGTAGCTTTGTTCCACCTTGTCCACTCACTTTCACCCCAAAGCTATGAAATGGGCATTAATGACCGAATGGGCTCTAATCCAAACTAATAAAGTTTCAACCTGGAAAGTTTACGCCCAGCCCCTGAAGTAGTCCGACGTACAATAGACAGGACATGCGTGCAACAGCAACTAATTCAAATTATCGAATAAGTCAGTCGGGCGGGCCACGTTTTTTTATGAATCGGCCTCGAGTTTTCAAATGTTATAAAGACTTATTCAATTTTTTCTGAACAAGCAATTTGCTTGGTTTTGGATATCGCTCATCCACATGGCCAAATCTGTGGGTCAGAAGTCACCCTCCAGTCTCCACGTGAATTTCTTATATGTGCTTAGTCGGTCGCTCACCATCAACACCTTTCACTGCGTAGAAGTGATAGACTTTCCGGTATTCGGGGAACACGGGATGACAGACCATTTAGCATACTTGTGTCGATGACACGATAAGGAGTAAGAACCAACGTCGAACACTGCCGACAGCATCGGCGGCTCCCTTCCCTCACCGGCCAGCGTTGCCTCTGCGTTTCAGGAGTCACCCTACTACTCGTACCGGCCGCACCTGACGACGCTGCGCTCACAGGCGGCGGCGGGTCCCGGCCTGCCGCGCCGGCCGGGGCCCGAGGCCGCCGCCGCGCCCCTCTCGCAGCGGCTGCGCAGCTTGCTGGAGGAGCGCAGCATGACGCCGACGCCGCAGCCGGGCGCCGCCTCGCGCTTCTCCGTGCTGAACATCAACCCGGCCGGTGGGTGTGAGGCAGGGGTCAGGGGGCGGCGGGGTCGGCCGGGATCGCCTGTCGGTGCGAGCTAGATGGTGCGATATGTCCGGCTAAGGCATCCCCGTGTTAAACGATCTGTGAAAAGTCTTAAGTGTGGTATCGTAGAGCAGCATAGAAGTGAATGGTGATACTGTGCTAAATCGCTTAGTTATTCATATGTGAATCTTGCAGGGTTTCCGTACTGTAGAATATATGAAATGTTTACAAAACGTACCGCAGCGATGGTTTATGAAAGACTGACGTCCACGGTGGCCGACAGAGTTCCTGCGATACAAGTCGGAGCGGACGTCGGTCTCGAGCGCCGAGGAGGGCCCGTCTGGTATGCTGTGGGTGCACCTGCTGTCGGGCCGCGGCCTGAAGCCGGCCGGCCGCATGCAGCACCTGCGCGACCTCTACTGCGTGCTCGAGTGCGACCACGTGCACAAGGCGCGCACGGTCATCCGCACCGGCGACCTGGTGTTCGACTGGGACGAGACGTTCGAGCTTGACCTGATCAGCAACCGCGAGCTCGACTTCCTCATCTACTCTTGGGACCCGCAGTTCCGGCACAAGCTCTGCTACAAGGGCTCCGTCTGTGTGGCCTCGCTCTTGCGAGAGAGCAACGTCTACCAGTTGGCGCTCAAGGTGGAGCCGCACGGCAGCCTCTACGTCAAGCTGCGCTACACCGAGCCGAAGCGCTGCTTCGAGCGCACGCCGAGTCCGCGGAAGTCGGCGCTCTTCGGCGTCGACCTCGAGACGACGGTGGCGCGCGAGAACTCGGGCCTCAACGTGCCATTGATCGTCAAGCGTTGCGTGGACGAGGTGGAGCGCCGCGGTCTGGACATCATCGGTCTTTACCGGCTTTGCGGCTCGGCCACAAAGAAGCGGCTGCTTCGCGAGGCGTTCGAGAAGAGTCCGCGCACCGTCGACCTTTCGCCGGACAACGTGCCCGACATCAACGTTATCACTGGTGAGGGAAGGTGACGCCGCGCCGCAGGGTCGGGAGGCCACCAAACATCCGCTTTGTCTGGGACGCGCTTGGGAGAGCAGCAAAGAAAACAAGTATGTCATATTGCATCATAAGTAGGTGATAAAGTGATATGGAGAAAACAAAGGTTTTGAAATGGTAATGCATGTAATCCTGAGAGAGTCAAACAAACATTGTCCGAGTGTGCGACTGGATCGCTCTGCAATTGTCATGCATTTCTGGACTTACTGTTAAGTAGCCAGGCCCTGAAACAGTATCTGTACATCGGCTTATCCAGTTCACTTAGAGACATTTACATAGCATCTACGAGCTTCCGGCATTTTTTGCTCGTGATCTGCGTAATTTGCTTCTGACGGCCTATTGTGTTGACTCAGCGGTTTAACGCCACCTAAAGTAAACCGAGAGGGTAGCCAGCCTGTCGGCAAAGCGTGAGCTCCATCGCGCTTCTTTATTGTTTATGGTAGGCGCATTTTCAAGGTAGACAGCAGAACATTGCTGCCATGTGCTCAGCGGTCTGTGCAGCTGACGGCCTGTGACAGCTGGAGGCGTGATTTTGACCGGCCGTTGGGCTCCGCCGCGGCAGGCGTGCTAAAGGACTACCTGCGAGAGCTGCCCGAGCCGCTCTTCACCAAGTGTCTGTACCAGATGCTGTGTGATGCGCTCTCCGTGTGTCTGCCCGACGACCCGGAAGGCAACGCTAAGCTCATGTTCTCGATACTGGACTGTCTGCCCAAGGTCAACCGGGTGAGTGCTGTTGTGGTGCGCCTGCTCTGGACTCGCGACTCCGCCCAGAAACAAATCACATTGAAGCGTTTTGGGAAAGTGTGAGAAAGGACTATTCGTTGAGAGAGTACAAGGAAGTACATATTTTGAGAACGTATGAGAAATTACTGATCGCTGTAAAACGATGCTCTTTTTTGTTAATATCTGTGCGGTATATTTATTACCGCAATTATAGATCTTCGTAAAATTCCAATTAATTTGGCAGATGTCATTGAGTTCGTTAAGTAATTGAACGGGATTAAAGTAAACCAACCAATACTTCCGTCTTCTCAGGATCTCGTTTCCTCTGTGTGTTGTGCTGTATTTGACCCAGCGTACTTTGCTCCACTCGCATCGTGTCTCCCCGCCGTCCTGGTCACATGACCCGACATATCCCCCCCCCCCCCTCCCGCCCACAGTGCACGCTCCTGTTCCTGATGGACCACCTCCGGTTGGTGGCCTCCCAGTCCGAGTGCAACAAGATGACGCCGCAGAACGTGGCCATCTGCTTCGGCCCCGTGCTGATGCTGCACTCGGAGATCGGCCGCACCGAGATCGATTTCCACAAGCCCATCTCCGTCCTCAAGTACCTGCTCACCATCTGGCCGCCCAAGTCAGGTAATGTTTACCGGTCCGCGCGGCCGCGGCGGCGCTGCGGAGGCGGCAGCGAAGCGGAGCACTGTCGACCTACCCGCGCGCAGATGACGGGCGCCGTCGCCGCCGCGGGTGCGGCCAGGGTCAGTTGTCCAGCATGCCTTTCGATGTTGCCGCGCTCAGGCTCTGTGTACCATGGAACTCAACAGTGTTTGAGCTAGTGTTTGTGACACGGGTCAAGCATAAGACGCACAGTCTTGGCGAATCACCCCCTGATAACCCTCGCCCATACACCGGATTCGATCAAGCGGCATCTCCATCGCCCTGTGGCACAGAGTACCTTCATGTGCACTGCGCATGTCAGCACAGCTTCCAACATGGCCTGTATACTAGCTTCTACTTTTCGCACCCCCTACATGGTAAATAAAGCCCTCCTGGCCCCACCGTTATCCATTCTCCTTCATTCCATATCCATAAAATGACAGCTTCTGGTCAAATCCAAATAACCAAACCAAGCCTGCTTCGCCGAGGAATGAGCGTGATTCGCCACTCTACCACTGCTTCCAGCCTGGGAGGTGCTCTCTAGCGTCACGCACAAAGCACAGAGAGCGCCCCCAAAGGTGCTCCTTGATTCTTTTACTCGGCCGTTTTCCAGACAGTTCGGGAAGCAGTGGCAGCGAGAGTCGGACCAGCTCGTCGCTCTCGTCTCTCGCCACGCCCCCCTTCGTCATCGCGTCGGGACGCGGCGGAGCCGCCGGACCGATCCGACCCAGCTACTACCGGCACCGACAGTGGCTCAGAGAGTCGCGATTCCTCCCCGAATCGACCTGCTGACCGTGCCGGCCTCCCCGGCCTGCCTGGGCCGCGCCCGCCGCCGCCGCCGCCGCCTAGCCGCTCGCGATCACGTCTCGCCGCCGCCGCCGGTCCGCGCGACGCGACAGGCGGTGCCACCGGCGGTGCGCCGGCCGTCAGCCAGCCGTTCCCCGGCCCGCCGGCGGCACCAAGCTACATGCGCGCGCCGCCGGAGCCGGGCGGCGGCGGCACGCGGCCGCAGCCGCCGGCGTACGCCGCGCCCGCCACCGGCTCGGACGAGTCGTTCGGCCGGCTGGCAGCGCCGCAGTACGGGCGCGGCTCGGCGGAGTCGGCCGCTCCTACTGGCTATGCCCGGCACCGCGCGGCGGCGGCGCCCGAGCCGTCCGGCGGCCGCGAGACGCACGAGATGATGATGAAGGGCGTCATCTCAGAGTTGCAGAGCAAGCGACTGTCGGCGCGCAGCCTAGACGAGGGCTCGGCCGTTGGTGCTGAGGAGCCGGCAGAGGGCAGCTCGCGCCGCGAGAAGGACCATGAGGCGGAGGAGGACGAGGAGGGGCCTCTGGACCTTACGTGAGGGCGAAAGGGCGCGCTGCCGGCCACTAGCAATAAAGAGATACTACAGGGTAACAGACTTGGCTGGGGAGGCCCGAGTACGGTCAGGTCGTTCCGAGGGTCGGACTGAGCACGTCTCTCAGATATGCATCCCACTGCCAATTGTGCGCGTTCCCGACGTTCAGAACCGGCTTCCAGATAACCAGTTCCTCGGCGCGACGCCTCAAAACGACTCTGTCTCCATCTAGTGACCTTTCCGTGAGCTTGTAGTGTGACCACTCTCCGCCCTCCGCTGGCGCAGTGCAGTTGCCACCCACCAGTTCTCCGCGAGTGTTCCAAGTCCATAGCGCGTCGATCTCACGATGGCTCATGTGACTGGCACAAACTGCCAAATACTCAGTGTGCGTCTTGTAGTCGTTGTTCCCGCACGCACTGCCTTGTTGTTACTCTGTAGAGCCGCCGGCCAGCTCATCAATCCGCCAGATCACCAACGTGCGTCGACAACTGCCGAGAAGATACACGTGCGTGGGCCAACGCTGAGCCGATGCTACCGCGCCGAATGTCACATTGGAGGTTTGTCGCGATGGTCACTATTGTATGCAGCAGTCCTTTCTTATCATTCACCTGGTGTTGCGATTTCGGCGGTAATGTGTGCACGGGGTCCTTGCTCTTTTATAGTTCCGTTTACCTAGAGTGCTGCATGATTTTTATAGAGTTTTGTATCTCCCTGCTCTCTGTCCCGAATCTCAGTGAGTACGTGCGCCTGATGTGGATATATATGACGTGTTAGGACAGCAGATGGTCGTGTGCATTCTGTGCTGCCACAAACGGTCCAAAGCTTTCTTCTGAGCGACTAAGAGGTGTATTGTGGAACACTGCCCGTAAGCCCGTAACTGACGCGAATGGAGCCCGGCTGCGCAGCGGAGCACTGTTTTGCGATGATCTATCGATGCAGTTTTTGCAATTTATCGTTAGTAGCTCTTGCTGCATTTTCTCCATTTTTGGAGAGGGTACACACATGTGTTAATATGTGAATATGTTAGTTACGTGGTGCACCTGGTAAAAATAATCTTGGCATCTGTTGAACATTTGACCGATGGTATATTTCACATCATGATTTCTGGATATCATCTTATTTTTGAAGCCAGTGATGTGCATGTCCTTGCGGAAAGTGCGCTTTGACATATCTCGCATTACAATGCTGCCTTCTGGAATATTTTATAACTACTGTAAGCCAACTAGCAATGTTTCGTTTACGTGGATAACGTGGCTAAAACGTAGCTATATTTGATGTGACAGTGGTTGTAAATTGAAGTGCTTGGTCGACAGGACAACAGGCATGCTCGCAAAACCGTTATTTTCTGTGATGTGCAGCTTGCGTGCGCCAGACATTAAAGCAGCAAGTTCAAATTAATCGGACTAGAAATCTAAGGGCAAGTGTCACTCGAGTGGTTTTGCCTGTTGAAAGAAAAGGTGTGCGCAATCATGTTGAATTGATTGTATGTATGTAAAATAGAGCAACAGGAGAGCTCCGGGTGTCCGCTTCTTTGGCTGATGGCTGCCCTTGTAGTGTCCTTATGTAGCCTCTATAGTCTTGAAAATGAAGGGCGTTGCTTGTTAACGGAGCATGAGATTGAGCTTGTGATGACTGCTGTGGAAAAGGAGATAAAGCCAATCATGATTTGTACGTCAATCATTTTTTATTTCAATAGTTACCACCGCTGAATTGTGTCATTCCATCGTTTTCTTTTCCTATATTTCTTATCGATATTCATCCGTATCCTAGCTTTCATCTACTTCTTACACACATGTATACATACATATGTGCTTTCGGTCATTTGCGCCTGTTGTTTTCCATTCAATCATTTAAATTACATTGCTGTCCGACGGGCACGTTAAATGGCCTGACACTTGACGGTTCAGGCTACAGACTGTAACATCCGAAATCAGTTCGAAGCTGGTGACGCTGTCAGCTTCCTGATCTCCTACTGCACCATGTTAAGGTGGTCCAGTGTTGGCAGCGCTCAGTGCTTTGCATACAGCGCATTCTCCTACGCTCTGGAGAATATTTCACGTATTCGTATGCCCTGGTTGCTGGAATCTAACAGCAATGGCTAAATGTGCTCGCCCGGGGACGGCTGGAGAGCCAGATAGTCTTTGGACGCTCGTGACTAGCCACACGCGTCGACCCGCGCTTTCGTTCATTTTCTCGTGCACCAGTGTTGAGCTGTAGTCACCGCGACACCAGGCCGCTGAAATCTGAGCTCATTCCGACACGGGTTGTGCAGGTTTTTTATTTCCTTTCTTCGTGTTAATCAAATAAAAATGGTTATATTTTCTGACAAAAGTTTGTCGCAGGAAAACACGGCAAACAGGCTGTTCGCAATTTTTAAGAAGTTGCGCTTAATACTGCTGAGAACTGCATAAACAAGCCGTTATTATTTTGCGACAATGCCGTTTTTTAAACAGCGTAACGCACAGGCAGGTTAGGTAGCGCGAGACCCCAACTCAGAATTGCTATCACCGTCGAACTTCGGTTCTTGCTTTGCTTGCTTGCTTCGGTCCTTGAACCCGTGCTTCGCTCTCGGCCTGCGGCTCCATATGTAATACTCGATTTGGTTCTCACCGAAGCAGTCCAGACAACAATTTTAATTTAAACCTGCACAGAGACATGTGACCAAAATTCGCCGGTGGGGTCAATGCCGATCTGAATGATCATTCCCTTTAAACTGACACTGCCTGAAACATTTCACCAGCCTAGAGCGCCTGAATGTGAGCAAGGGCGTACGCAGGATTTTACAATAGGAGGGGTATAACTCAATCATTCTTATTGGAATCCTAGTTAAGCGCGCCGCGCGTGCGTGAAATGCTTTGCCTGTTGTAAATAGCATCGCATATTCGCGATCTTCGTACTTCTATGCGTCTTCCTTTAACTTGTATCTGTCAATATTTATTCAAATACATAGTAATACATGGCATAAATTTGGTATAGGAGCACAAGCCTCCACGGGCACGCCCTAACTTGACCTTTGTTGGTGATCTAATGCGGCTTCGTACAGTGCGACTGACCCTGAATGAGCACATTCAAACGAGTGCTTGAATTATATCAAACAACCGGAAACGGGATAGAAACACGCACTGCTACTGCATAAGCAAAAACAATCATGTAGCTTCCAGTAATGCCGTCAGATCCCCGTGAACTAAAACCCAGCATGGAAAGCTTCTCGCGGTTACAGTATGACAAGGTGGCCAGCCGACAGGCACTGAACATTTATGAACTTCCCTACTTTGGTAGTTTGCAATTATTTCAGTAACCTGGAGGGGGCTTACAAACACTTAGGTCATTGCGGATTAAAGTTATGTGGCATTTAAGTTATGCCGCTGTGGGACGTTGTCAGACTTTGGAGCCTTTGGTCAAAGACTTCACGCGGCCAACTACGCGACGAAGGGAGGGCAATCTAAGCGCATGTCAAAAAATAATTTGGGGAGACAAATATATCGCAGCTTCGCACCCACAGTGGTAAGGCTTAAAGGCCCTGCAGGCTTTAATCCGTCAGGATTGGTTGCCTAAATCAATACGTCGCTCTTGGACAGGGAAGGAGAAGGTCGACATTTCGCGGAAAGCGAGTCAGAGATGATTGCGTCAGAGACGATTGCATCAGGGCTACCTAGTTGCACATTACCAAAAGGAATGAGCCACGAGCTTAGTTACAGCCTAGGTGCACCTCCGCAACAGGTGCGCGTTGTTCGCAGCAAAAAAATGTTACCATGTAACTCGCCATCAAAGAAATCGAAACCTTGCAAAGGAAATTATTAGCGTCATTTCAGAGAATACTGATAAGCGAAAGCGAATGGCGTAAGGCAACAAGTGGATCAAAAAGCAAATCCAAGATTTTCAAAAAGGTTGTATCTACTCCGCTGGTACCTACATATGGAAGCTTCCAATGGGCTGTGGCAAGGCAATATTTTGGTTTACAAAGTCGACGATTTTTGTCTTGTGTCGGTGACCTCGACCAGTCATGTGCATGGATGTACGATTTTCGCAGCGAATCGAGCATGTTCGTGAGGCTCGTGCAATGTTCGTGGTAAGTGATTTATTGATTTGTGTGTCGGTGTTTTTGATACGTTTTAGCTCCTCTATTGAGATTGTAACTGAAGCACTGAAAGTTGACAGCTGCCAACAAATTCGAACACATAATGCCGAAAAATCAGAAGGTCAAGGCCTTTCCTACTTTCCACCATGTCCTGTAGACGAGACATTCACCCACCGAATGAAGCTATTTTCACGGCCTGTTGCCATGGCTCGTGTCATTCCTGGCTGCTGACAGGTGACTTCAGGCCTTAAAACGTCTCCTAGTGCGTGGGTCTGTGGTTTGCACCAGAGTGCGTTTGACATCACACACATAGACCGCACACTATTGCCAGCGCGCTGCCCCTTCTCTCATTTGTCAAATGGTGTCAGCCTCGTTTCGATGCCTCAGTGACTATTCGGGTTGCCGTGATCGAGACCGGTTTCTGTTAGTGTTCTTCGATGCGTTAGCAGTTTGCAAACTGTGCGCTTCTCATGTTATCCGAATGGGGGGATAATCTTGGCAAAAGCTCAGTTTTGCAAAGAACACGTGGTAGGTCAACCACCATTTATTCAAGCGCCTTGCAAGCATGAATGCAGAGCAACCAATCATTATGCTGTTTGTCGCTGAAAAATGCACTGCGGTGTAGCCAATGCTGATGATGTGATAATCATCCCGGTGCGATCAATCGATAGGCACCTAAACGTACCACCTTTGTCTCATGATTTTATTGTCTTATCTGACAAACAGACAAAATTAGATAGCCGTGCTTAATTTAACACCTGAACCGCTGGAATCCGTCACGTAACTGATGACGACACCAACCACGCAAACCACGTTAAAGATCAGCAGAATGGTGTAAATTCAGGGGCTCCTAGTGCCGGAAATAAACATCAAGCATAACATGTATTTGTTAACACGCGCTCGGGGGTCAAACTGACTATTCAAGTCT